CTTCCCCTCCTGAGGAGGTGGAGGCTGTTCCCCGCCCCCCAGGCATCTATAGGCTGGTTCTGGATGAGGGTCTGGTATTCCCTTTATTTAACCACCTCATTGTGTCTTTCGCGTCTAGTCTGTCCGTAACACTTGGGTTGCTCCCTCTTAGAAGTTCATTCTGGCTTTGGAGGAATGAGCTGCCAGGAACAGGTAGTGGAGGGGAAGAGGCCAGTGTGGAGGTGCAGGGGAGGCAGTTTCTTCCTTTCTCCCCTTACTCCTGGGGCAGCCTAAGAAACAGACCACAGTGAGCGCTGCCACACTCCAGCCGACCTGTGAGTCTGGTGCGCTCACATGGGGGGCCAGGCCAGGGCACGGGGCAAAGGTTTCCAGAGCAGGAAGAAGGGCTAGAAGAGCCTGTCACAGACCAGGCGCTCCCGCCTCACGACGTTCTGCTCCTGAGCCCGCGTAGCAGGGGTCTTCAGCAAGGCCAGGCAGATGGGTCAGCGTCTCTGCAGAGGACAACTGAGGTCCGATGGCTGGGAAGGAGGGCTCCGCAGGGCGCCGAGGGGTGGAACCTGCTGGCAGCTGCCTGGCTGGCATCACATGACCTGTCTGTACTCGATGCCTCTGTTGGTGGAGATGCTCCACCATGGCAGGAAGCTGCAGAGCAGGCTGTGGGCCCGGTGGTAGATCCCATGCAGGGGTTCAGGTTTGCTAGAGCAGAGCCCAAGTGCTGGCTGTAGTACAGGATGGTCCACAGAAGGTGGTCACCACTGATGTAGAGGATGTGGATGAAACCGTCTTTGAAGGCCCCACAGATGGAGTAGTAGTTGGGGAAATGGTGATGCTGCTTAAAGTCTGTTTTTGTAAAAATTTATTGCTGTGTTGTTAGTGGTGAAGATGTGCAGGTAGATGGCTTTGCAGTGGTGGATATGTGATCTTTTAAACTCTCAAGAAAAAGGGAACATTCTTGTGTATTGTATTTTGGGCCTACTTTTAATTTCAGCTACGATCCTTCCCACGATGGCGCCCCTGTAGGTTGCAGTGAGGGAAAAGAACCTCTTGTTGGAGGTGATGACACGATACTATGAGTCTGGGAACTCGATGGGGAGTCAGTCACCACACAGATGCTTCACGGTGTCTATGCCATTGTCGCATAGGAGGAGGTGCAGGCTGACCTTGCTGAGGGTGCTGATGGCACCGCCTCTTTCATTCACACCACGGGCAGATGCCAGCAGCAGCAGAGGGCATAGGGGGGCTTAGCACACTCTGGGGTCGCAGGGAGCCGGAAGTGGGGCTGTGCAGGGTCCGAAAGGAGTTACACAACCTGCAGGGGCATCAGCTGGGACTGAGGCTGCAGTCCCGCAGTTAAGATTTGGGGTGTGGAACCATTCTTAGTGATGACAAGGTTCAGGATGTATTTCTGGCAATGTGGGGTAGTCTATGTTGAGTGGAGGTGAAATTTATCATTGTGTATTTGAGGTCAAGAAATAGTAGATTGAAGGTGTTGGGTGGCTATCCTACAGAGACACTGAAGTTTCCTAGAATGATGGTAGAAGTTGGGGTTGTGGGGGAGAAGACGAGTATTGTGTCTTGAAGAATGTGGCCAGGAGGTCAGTAGATGATAGAAACATAGGAGTGTATGTAGTGGTTATAGTCAGATAGTCAGGGTACCAGGTGTGTGGTTCTGAAGTGTCATTAAGGAGCTAAGAAATTGTCATCCCCATCCTTAGTTCTGTGGTATGTGAAGTACATGACATAATGTGGGGAGAGGAGCTTATAGGTTTTTTTTTTTCTCTTACATAAGGAAGAAGATTCCAGAGGGCACAGTGGTTTGAAGAGGGAATTTTAAGAGAGGAAGTATAGAGCATTAAGGGCTTAAGAACAGGGAAGGTAAACTGACTTTCTTTTGGCATACGAGGATTATAGAAATGGAAGCTTTAGTTGGAATTCATTGACCACAGAGTGAATCATTTGGTGACACAAAAAGTCTGAGGTGGGATGTGGCCAAGTGTGGGCCCGCTCACTGTATGGGGACTAGCTCCCTCCTGTGTGAAGGGTGGAGGGATCAGGCCTCTCCTCCCTGGGGAGGTCTGAAGGTGAGCTGAGTGGCCACATGTAGGATCGTTTTCATTTAACATCTCATCTCTAGCCTTACGGTAAACCTGAAAGTTGGGCACAATAATAGTGATAATAAAAGATCTGCCTTGTTTTCATCCCTGGAGTTGGGAAGATTCAATGCAATGTTTGTGGGAAAGTACTTGAACAACTCTAATCACTTAGTATGCTAAGTTTTATTGTAACCCACACCTTTGATGTATTTCTCTTTGTGCTCACCCATACATTTGTAACATATTCCCTAGGATACTAAGGGTTTCCTTTTGACAAGCCAAGGTTTTTTATTTATAGTGTTAGGCTGGCACCTGAGCTGATTCTCTTTAGTGATTATGTAGGTTTGATGTGGACTGGCATCTTTCCCTGGAGTTTGAGTATCTCCCTCAGCAGCTTCTCATGGCCAGAAGTTCCATCTCTGTGTCTCTCTGTTAAAAAGCCCAGACTCCAATCTCGGCCACCCACCCAGTTCCTTGCTTCAGTCCTATGTACGCCTCCAGCTCCTGGCTCATCTGCAGAACTGAGCTGACTGGCATGCCCTAAGCAAAATTTGCTAATCTAGTCTAGTTTTCTAGGTACCCCTTGATGATTCGACAGGAAGGAATCCACAGCAAAGTGGCACCTGACTCAGAATTGCAGTTTTACAGTGTCCGAAGTCTTTCAGACTTTCACAGAGAGAGGCAGGTATGATTCTAACCAAGAAAAGGGCATTCCTTTATTAATGCCCGTACCTCCCTTTGAAATTTAACAGGCTATGCTTGAATTTTTAGATATTAGATTTTCTGGAAGGGAAAAGGAAGCACCTGTGATGGAACCGACTTTTTTTTTTTTTAAGGGTAATTCTCGAGCAGTTTCATTAGCTTCGATCTATCATCACTTTTCTTTTCTTTTTTTTTTTTAAGATTTTTATTGGGTAATTGGGGGGATGGGAACAGTGATGGGGAGTTGGGGGAAGGGGAACAGACAAGTTGCTGTCATT